CTGGCCAATTTAACTTTCTTTTTCCCTATATAGTGGCAAAGCTATACTTAACCACATACAGGTGTGATTTTTGGCTCTGGTACCAAACTGGCAGGTGTGTTTGTTATTACGATGACATAATAAGTATCATTACAACTCAGGTAGGAGCAGGTACATAGGAGGCCGGGGTATATACGAGAGGAAGGTAATAATGCTTCCAGCTGGATGTAAGTGCACCACTGGCTTTATTGCATCCTAAACATCAGTGCACATTTACACTGACATACACACAAAATAAAACCCTAGGAAATAGCAGAGAGATACGCAAAGAGAAACCCACACAAATGAACACCTTAGCTGATTTACGTTTATTACCAAGTAAAACCCTCAGAATGAATCTAGGCTGAAAATAAATGCCCATCACAGATACCAGCTATTTCACAGATTGCAAGTCAGTGCTTTCGGCTATAATTTAGAAACATCACACTCACCCTTCACACTTCTGCATAGAACTTCTTAGAAAAACATTTTACAATGAACGGGAGTGGTCTCAAATGCATTTTCATGATTTATGTTGTTAAAATCATTTAAAAGTGGGGGAATGAATTATAAAAGCATGTCACACTTTCACGTTTTTGGACATGGTTTTACGTGTTCACTTAAATCCACATAAAAAGTTGTGCATCGTGCACAATGCTGCATCACCATCTGGGGTAAACCCATCAAAGCTGAGGTTAGATCCTGAGGGGTTGTAAACAGATATTTGGTGACCAAATCGCACTCAATGCTACTTGTTAAATCTTACCGCCTGACTACTCTGAGCCTTCATCCAGCATGGCAGAAAAAGTTTTACTTATTCACGACGCCTGTACAAAGTAAAGATGAGAAAATGTCTTCATGACTTCCTGGTGCACTTCTAAACATTAGAAACAAAAGGAGTGTAATCCGTACGCACACGCACAAACTGAGCACCTCAGAACTGCTCCAAAGAAAGCATTTTTCTCTAAAGTCATACTTAGTGCCAAAGTACTAAGTCCAAAATAAATGATATGGCATGATAAGCGTCATCTGCCTCAGCGATAAGCAGAAAAATGCTTTTCTAATCACACATTTGGTAATGATGATACAAATGCAGTAATTATGATTGATGGGTTGAATATTTAAAGAGCGTTAACACTGACTCACAGTTTCATTCGTGTTTCACCGTTCTCAGTGTGGATACATCCATATAATTGAGTTATGCTTACAGCTTGACTGGACCGCGTGTTTGGACCACCAACCTCAGATTATCATACATACATGAGACCCGAACTAAGTTATTGAAGTTAAATGTGGAATTAAGAAATTGATTTCAGATACAGCTGTGAGCCTTGCAAGCAAACATTTAAAACATTATTTTGCCTCTAACATACTCTGTAAAAAAAACATTGTACATCTAACAACGGCCACGTTCACTTCATATTTTGTCTGATAATGCAGCAGTTCTGAAGTCTATCAACAACTAACACAACAGACCATTCAGTATTGCAGAGCTGGACTGGGTCCAGTTGGCCAAACAATTTACACAACATTGAGCAAACACTTGAAATTAAGGATGAATCTGGTCCATTGCTCCAGCAAGCCAGTTGTTTGGCATCTGATGTCGTAGAAAAATATCTCAGTGGCTATCTCCCAAGTGTGAATTATCATTGTTGTGTTGCCTAATAATATTAAGAGGATCAAACTTAGCTCATGACTGCTATTCATAATCTCCAAAAACAACATTGTCTACAGAATGTCTGATGCTGAGAATGGTTCCTGTCAACACCAACCCAGAGAAGGCAAAAACCCTGGAACACACACATGCATGCCTGAACACATGCATTATCTCTGTTTCTGTCTTTCATGCAGACACACAGACGGATGAATTGTTTTTTCTCACAGTCTCGACTTGCTGTTGTTTGATTTACTCGCTGGCCTCTGACCCTGGCTGGGCTGAGCTGGATGGACTCTTGGCCCTGCTGCTGCTCCAACTGGTTCATCTCTTAACATGACCCTGCTGGACCCTGGTGAGTACATGTGAGAATGCATCTCCAGACACACTTCGTCATTTGTGTCCGGTATCCTGTCATTTTTTAAGGGCAGCACCTTTGAACGAATGTTTACGTGAAACAAAATGAACAAAGAGAACCGTACAGTTAAAAGACGCACCGGAGTGACCTGTTTTACAGAGGGACACAAAACAAAGCAGATCCCACTTACATTTCTCTTCTCCCACATTTTCTTTGATTTACAAGCTGCTAGCTGACCTTTCTGTGTAACACATTTCCTGTTTTTGAAGAGCATTAATTAATCAAACATGGCAACAGTGATGTGACTTCATCTGACCTCCGCCTGTGAAAGCATTCAAACACCAACCTCAGAGCATTGCAGTTTGTTCATGAAAATGTTACATTTTCTTATGAGGAGAAGTTCTTTACACAGCAATTATTATGGACTAAATGGCTAATTCATTTGATTAGGCAAGTATGTGTGACACTTTTCTAAATGGATACAGAGCAAAGTGATTTAATTTTGACTGAGCCTCCCTTTTTGGTCTGTTTTGGCACTTTTTGTTATTTGGCACTCTGTTTTCCCCCCACATTTAACTCCCTCAGAAGTAAGACCTCATGTGTTTTATGTTAGATGTTGGATTCACTTCTATAGGGTATCCCTTTCTATTAATTTCATTAGTAAAATGAGCCTATCATGTAATATACGATGTGTAAAATATGAAACGGTCTGAAATGCTGTATTCTCCTCATGTGTGATCTTGTTCTCATCTTAACCAATTGGTTTTGTCCCATAAGCTAACCCCAACAGTGAGTGGGAAAGACAGTTAAAAAAAGAAATCATTGGCTCCAAATGGAATTTACGAGACTGGAACTACATTTATAAGGAGAAACTATTTTGAAGGAAAAAAAACACCACCAAAAACAAGAGAGCAAAGCCAAGGCTTCATTGGCTTTTTTGGATAAAGGTTAAATTGTTCCACAGCCTTTTTTCTGAGGTCAAATGTTGATAAGTAACAAGCTTGTGTAATGCATGTTTCTGAAACATATCAAGATCTGACATCTCTGTGGTTACTACACAGATTAATTGGAAAGGTCTCAGACCAGAGACACAGCTAGTTTCATCAGTCGAATGTGGTGAACACCAACAAAACTGTCAGGCTCATATCCTTCAAGACTAGAATACATAGAACTCACTGTTAACAGAAACAAAAAAATAAAAGTAATTAATATTTGAAATAGTATCTTTTAAAACCTCCAGCTTACAGTTAAACAGCTCCTTCATATAAACACAAATAGCAATAGTTGCAGACCAGCCTTGGGACATCCCCCAACATTCCCACCTAAGCAGCTCTCATGTCTCAGGAGTAAGGTTCCAAACTTTCTCCGTCTTTTTTCTTAATGTACCTTATTGTACTGCAGTGTAAAAGGTGCATTTTTCTTCTGAGAGGACCAGCTTACCAAGGTAACCAGCCACAGAGGGACAGTGGCAAAGTGTCGACACGCGCTGCCAGGTTGCCAAACACAGCTTCCTTCTAGATTAAGACGACCGAGTGGTTACATGAATTCTGATCAGCACAGGTCTGGCTCCGTGCTTTTGGGAGTTTTTCTGACATTTGTTTATCCTGTAACAGAGGAATACTTTTTTCACATGAAACATCTGTGATTATAGCTTCTAAACCTTTTTTTTTTCATTATCATTTATTTTTTAATGAAAACCAGTCAACTACATCCATATATTAACTATAAGCCTGTTTTAAAGATACAGTCGTCGTGGCAACAGTCATCTCGTGTATGAGTCAGATTATCAAGTGGTTAGAACAGCCAGATTTCACATCACTATTTTTCTGAAGTTTTTTATTTCTGGGACTAGAGAATTCCATAAGGCACTTACTTAGTCTTAACCCACCTCTTGAAACAGTTTTAGCGCAACAGTAACACAATTCCTGTGCTCCATATAGATTGTCTTAATGGCTTAGTGCTTTTTGTTGTTGTGCAACACACTGAAAGCCTCAATCCCTTGTTCTCAGTTCCTCTTAACTCTTTGATAAGGAAGTGGACTCATTTTTTTCCTTTGTTTTCTGGCACATTGAGAGTGACATAAAAGGCTGGGGGAGGTGGAACAGGTATGTGTAACAGGACAATGGCTGGTAAATCTCCCCACAGCAGCCGCACCAGAGCCCTGAGTACATGCTTGTGGAGGAAAGATAATCAGCTTTTGGCAGATGGGCTAATAACCTTACAGCGGCTGAGAGGGGGGCCTATATTTAGCGTCAGTCTCTGTCCCTCTTAACAGGGGATAACACTGGCCCTGTTCTCCTCTCCATAGCCTATCTCTCTCTTTTTTAAATTCATCAACAGACTCACAGAGGCAGAAAGGACAGGTAGATAATGAAGACGAGTTTCAACCTGGCGTGGAGGTGGTACAACATTGTGTGAGAAAGTGGCGCAGATGTCTCACTTACATAATTCAGATCCTGTCAAGGAAAAGCTAGAAGGAGAGGAAACAGAGACAAAGGCAGAAAGCGAAGTCAAGAAAAGATAATAGAGATCAGGCAAGAGAGCGATTTCTTTTTTCTCCACGTCAGCAGGGAAAGTGACATCTGGAGGCCAAGGCTTCTGGGCATTACAGTGATGCGGACCTGGAGCCAATCCACTCAGCTAGTTACCATGTGTTTCTGGATGACAGGGCTTGGATGGTAGTAAGGTCTGTTCAAATACTTGACATCTCCCAGCTGTAACAGACTCACTCAGCCTTTAATGAAGTTGGCAAACAACATGATGACGCCTGCTGACGCTCGTCTGTGACGTTTAGCAGAGAGGAAATCCTTCACGTTCAGCTGTCACTTGCTGGCAGTGAAAGTTGTGCCCTTTGAGACTGTACGGGCACCTAAGTGCACTGACCTTAAGTAGACTTTTAGTCCACCAGAAGCAAACACAAGCACTAAATGCCACCGTGGGGTTATCAACAAACAAAAAATTAAACAACTCTTTTATGATGATTTTTTGGGGACTTTTTTAATTGTCAAGTTGTTCAGATCATTCTTTTTATGTAAAGAATGTGAAACTGAGGGACAATCGAACAATCTCATCAGAGCAAAAGAAATACACAGACAAGAGATCAGAGCACATACACAGCGAACACTTTAAAACCTCAATATCACCACACTGTCCAGCTGCTCTGCTCTTCATCACCCAACAAAAAATAAACACAAATTCTCACACGCCACAGTAAATACTCACACAGCCTGGAATCTGCCTACTACGTTGGCCCAACACAAACTGTACAAAAATAGAGATTGAGAAATAGAAAAATAGGAGATCTGAAATGTTTTTTGAGAATCTGCAGAGGGTGTTTAAAGCAAAAAACGTATACCAGTTGTTCTCATGAGACTCACAAAAACCAACCAAGAATAATTGCATACCTGTGTTATTATCATTCAAATGTGTTTTTCTGCTCATCATCATGCACACATTTACTTTACATTATTTGAGAATGGATTTAAATGCTATCATCAGAATGAGTAGATTTCATAGGCATCAGGATGTAAGATTAGATCATTTCTGGGGTTTCTTGTATACCTCTGAGCTGCAAAAATCATGACTACAAAGTACCATCCCACAACTTAATTCTTTTTGCATTCATGGGCAGTCACGCGTGTAGTAAAATTAATTTAGATGGCTGAATGATAATATGACGTCAAAATAGTCAAACTGATTGGTGAGAAGTGTAAGAAATAAGTATTCACAATGAACTTTTCAGTGCAATTTTTAAAACTGATGACCCTTTGCATTTGGATGTTTTCCCTGATTAACAGCTGCACTTTCTCTGCATTCATCTCTTTTGTTTGGCATCAAGAAAAGACCTAAGACCTTTGCACGTAAATCCATATTTGTTGTCTGAAGATAAAAACAGTAGCTTCTGTAACAGGCTCAAATTTCTTTTTTTCTTCTTTTTTTAAGAGACATATTAGTAAAATACTTTCTGAGGTTTATTTTGTGCCCTCCAACCCCAGCGTCAGTGACAAACTATGTGGGGTTGGTGGGTATCAACCCCCACATGTGGAAACACTGTGTTAAATCCACGGCTTGTATCAGCTGGGTAATGTTTCCTTGCTCTTATTGGCAGACTTATCCTGCTGTACTTTGAAGAAGTGAGAGTAAAGTCAACCTCACTGCTATTGCCTAAGATTCAGACTATTTGGAAGGAATGCATATTAAAACTGCATCACATTCAGTCGCTTAGAACTTGGATGAAAACGACAAAACATACTCGGTGTGCAAAGGCACTTTTGGTGAGATGCAAACGTTAGTTCTTATTTTCAAGACAACAACATGGGGTTCCTTTCAGTACCATTGAGCTATACATTTAAAATTGATCTTTATAGACGTGCAGAACTACGACTGTTTAAATGGAGTTTTAAAAATTAAAATGTTTTCTAGCTTTTCTTTCCTCAATGTGATCGCCTTTTTGAGACATTTAGTTTTTTTCGGTTTCTGAACTGTAAATGGATTTTGCATTTACAACAAGCATTTTACTCTAAACCTTTGAGTCTTCTCTCTCAAGTAGTTTTTTCTTTACTCTGATAAGAATTTTTGTATCTAAACCCCCTTCCCTTTTCTGCAGAAGATGAGATTACTTGTTACTTCCTCTTTGGTAATCAGAATGTGTACTCGTGCAGCAGAGTTGCTGATAAGAGCAGAGCCTTCCACTAAACACTGTAAAAATTACTAGCTGGTCTGTTACCTCACTAAATGTATGAGACCCAACTTAGCACTGGAAAACGTTCAGACCCTAAATACATTCATAATCACCTTAAAAAGAGACTCAACGGCCCTTCATGATAATGAAATGCCATCAAAGCTCTTCCCTTTGGGCTTAATCTAGGCACTTAAAATTATTTCCGTACAGAAATAAAACATGCATTGTTGCGTTGTTTCTTTTTTTTTTTTCAGAGTTAAGAAAGATCTTTCAATTTGTAAACAGTATCCAGTTCCTCTTTTTGCATTGTCAGTGAAAAGAAATCTACTCACACATGAATCCACACAAACATTTTCACCACATCATTGGGGTCTTTCACGACTCCTCGTGGCAGTATGTTAACGTCTGATTTGGTTGTGAGGAAGATGTGGAGATAACATTAGTTCATTGTGTCAAATGTCAAAGGTTCTCATGAGCCGTCACTCACAACGTGCGGAGAACTTATCTGATCCGTGTAAGTTGAGGTTTAGTTTCTCAAACCATCAAACTGAAATGCTAGTCTCTTTCACCCTTTTGCGCTCAGCTCCTCCTGCAGTGGCCCCTGAACCCAGGAAATATCATATCTCAGACCGACTCAATCCACTCGCCCTGTCCTCATTTCCATTCTTTCATTCTTCTTGTGAAATTTGAGCTCTCTTTTCTCTGTCATTTCCTGAAACATTTCACGTCAAGGAAGGAGCCAAAAAAAGCATGATCATTCTTCCTTCTTGTGAGGATACGAGCCTAACGAGTTATGCGAAAGCGCATGGGTGTGCACAGAGATTAGTTACAGGGCAGCCAGGTGGCATACATGGGATGCTGAAAAGGGGGAAGGTACTGCTGAGGCGGCGAGGGTGGACACGAGAAGACGGGCTGGACTTGAGCAACGTAATAGTTGCTGAAGTTGCCATCTGACACGTAAGGAGCGGGCTGGTAGAAGCAGGTGACGTTGGCGGCGTTGGGAATGGCGTTCTGCTCGGCCAGGACGCGCAGTGCCAGCGAGGAGATGAGGCTGAGCGTCTGCCGCCTCTCGTGTCCCATCAGGCACACGGTGCTCTCCTGCACCACCTCATACAGCGTGGCCAGGTAGTCGTACTTCCTGTCCTCCAGGCCCACGAAGTGGTTCTGCAGGTAGGACTCCAGCTTCCTCCTCTGCTCACTCACGTCGGGGAAGTCTATGAAGAAGCGCGAGCACATGTAGCGCTGGAGCAGCTTCATCTCCACGTCCGACGCGGCCCGGAAACCTCGCACCAGCAGGTGGCAGTACTTCAGCAGGCCCCCGCCCCGGATCTCCTCGGGGCTCCTGGTGCAAATGAGGCGCTTGCGCAGGTGATCGAGGGCAGCGGGGAAGTCGCCGTAGACGCTCTCCCCCAGGATCGTGGGGTGGAAAGTTGCTGCCATGGGGTGCTCTGAGCACTCGTAAAAGAGGAGAAGGGAGTCCAGTCGAATCTGGAAAGAATCCACGCTGAACTCAAACTGCCTACGCAGAGAGTCCACAAACTTAAGCTCTACGTTCTTGCCGCGGTTGTTGGAGAGCGAGATGAGACTCCAGCGATCGGAGTCATTACACACCTTCACCATCTTCTGCACGTAGGCCTCCTAGGAACACAGAGAGGGTCAAATAATTAGGTGTGAACAAAGACTGAAAATATTGATGTGTATTTTGGAGGGTTTCTGAGTTCATCAGACAAAATCAAAAACAAAAAGAGCCTACCGAGATAACCACAGAGCACAAAGGTCTGACTCTTGCATTAGTGTGTATTGTGCAGTGCTAACAAAAAGCTGTGCCGTTTAATGAGAGCCTTATTTGAATCTTTTAAAGCCTTCTACCCAGCTTGAATCCATCCCACAGAGCCCTACTGCCTCCTCCTCTCGTTCATTTTCCCAGCTGCAGCGTAGTGTCGGCTCTTACAGCAGCTTTTCTAACAAAAAAGCTCATCTCCTTAAACATGATACAATAAAATAACATATGTCATATCATGAATTTGTTCAGGATTAGATTTAAGAATGATTGCACCAAGGTACTGTGTGGAGATTTACTGGATAAAAAGGCTACAAAAAAGAGTCTTAAACAACTCAGTTTGTAACAGATATCTGGATTAGGTCTTTTAGTGGTGATGTTCTACTGATTACATCTGTTGGTGGGTCAGAAGGATGGGTAGTCGGCTGTATCCAGGTAACTAGGGGCCAAATGATTAATGTGGATCCGACTCCAATTGGATTAGACAGAATCCTCTTTGAATTGGAAACCGACCTTTTTACTATTTGCGGGCTTATATCTCTGCAAGTATTCAGGGCAGAACTCAATCCTGTTTAGTAAGCCTTAATTAAAATACTTCAGACAAAAAAAAACGAATGCCCTGTTCCAACATCCTCGGAGGTTTAACAGCCTGAGAAGTTAAAGGCAATTACGAATTCACAAGTTCTGCTGTGTTTTAACGGTGAAGCATAGCTCCATGTTGGCTTTATTACCTTTAAAGTCACCGGTGTGATCTTTTCTTTATTTACTCCCTCTGGCAAGAAGTCAAGAAGAGAGTCGAGAACTAACTCCTTCACTATCTGAAACTCCATCTCTCCTTTCAGCTCGGCGCAGAATATCAAATCCAGATCTTTCCAGCCCAGGCCGCTGTCCTCGTGCAGGACGTAGCTGGCCGCGGATCCGTTGAGTCGCACCTCCCGGACGTGGATGCGCTTCTCCTCCATGCGGCTCCGCACCACCTTCACGATGTCCCGCGGCTTCACCTCTAACGTCGGGAAGCTCCAGCGGCCGTGGATGGGGATGGAGCCGGTGAGGATGGTGTCCAGGCGCTGCACTTGCTCCCAGTTGAGCACGCTGAGGTTGATGCTCTCCCCGTTGGGGCAGCCGTCGGGCACAGCGCGCTCCGCACCGTGGTCCATGTCGTCAGGAGGCGGACAGCAGGACGCAAACGGCTAAACTTCTCGGTTGCTCCAGCTGGAGCCGTGGCACCCGAAAGCTTTAGCGTTATTTCTAAACGAACCCTGTCATAACAGGATGCTGGACGGCAGAACGTCTCCACGCATGAAAGGCTGAGCAAGTAGGGCGCCGTTGTCCTACTTCTTACATAAAGTCAGCAGACGCGACCAACTGCGCGCAGAGGCTGTCCGGAGTCAGCAGCGTTTCGCTCTGTCACCACATTCAGGAAACTGAAGAAGAACAGCGAGTAAACGTTGAATCGGTGGTTCCTTTAGCTGTCAGCTTTTGGTGAGATTCACTGACGCATTCATCTCAGCCCAGAAAACCTCTCATCCAGCAATTCAAACTTCCGCCCTGTTCGTCTCCTTTTACGCACAAGTCTTTGCGCGTAAAACTTTAGAGCTGACAACTGCGTAATTCTGCATAGTTTTTAAGGCGACAGCACCTTTTTTTTTTTTTTTTACAATGCACACCTACTCTCAGGAAGCGGTGTACTGCTGCTTGTCCTTTACATTTTGGCCATTTGTCTCTGGCAGACGGTGCGTATATCCACACGATGTGCCGCTTCACAGCTGCTGGAGAGGTTGTGAATTGTGTGCTTCCCGTCTGAGAAGCGTTGGGGCGGGTCAATTTGATTGACAGAGTACACTTTCAAATAGCTGCCGCCCACTCTCCCATGTCTTCTGAGTGGCAGCAAGCTTAAAGTTTGAGGCGTCTCTGATTGACGTTGGAACCGGAGTAGATTTCAACAAGGGCATTCCCCCTATCTGTTATTTAGCCCTTGAATTATTATTATTAGAATTATTATCTTGCATTGTTAGACCTCATAAATGGTAATAAAAACTGGTAATAGATAGAATAAATTCAAATTTGACATCACGCTGACCACTCAAAGCAGATGGCGTGGACACATTTATGCGTTCTCTGGGGGCGGTTAAACTAATCACATTTTAAATGTGCCTGAGGTGGAAGTTCCCATATCAATATTGGTGACAACTACATTGGCAACATGCATAAAAATTGACACGGGCGTGTATGTGTTTGTGGGAGGGGGAGGGGGAGGGGGGGTCACTTGTCTTGAGGAATCTATCAGTGTGGAGATTGGTGCGCACACCTGCGTCACGAGAAACGAGCCCATTAACCAGCTTATTGTAGATTACTCTCTATGTGAGGTGACACACAGCTTCACTCGAGAAATAGGTGGTTTACAGACACAGACACACTTACACACTCATGTGGAAGATTCAGAATTATTTTTGGATGCTGTGTGCATTAAGAGTGTGTGCCCTTAAATGATTAAACACTTTGAAGGGAAAATAAATGGATGAGTCTCAGCTCTGAGACAATCTTGAGTCAAGGTTTTGAATACAAAATCTACTTATTTCACAGTGCATCTAGAGGCAGTTAGGTCAAGCTTACTGGAACTATCGTCAGTATCAGTTGCATTTGATTTTTAGGTAAAGTGCATGGCAGGTGTTTCACTTCTTGGTAGGACTTCTATTCTGAGTCTCACATTGACCACAATGAGTTACAATAAACAGAAGCATCATCATCTTCTGCTCGGTGTCAACTGGAGACAGTTCCACAGGAGTAAGAGGCAGTTTTTGCTCTTTGGTTTCCAGACTGCAGACGGTGCAACTGTATCAACTCTGGGATGGCACCAGGCCGCAGGTCAGTCACACTCTCCCCATTCACCAACTGGCTCGGTGTCAGGCTTACTGGCTGAGATACTTATCACGAAGCAGCTTTTGACTTGGCCTTTGACTTGCCAAGGGGATGACACCAGCTTGGTTTCTTGAAGTCTGACGACATCAGGGGATTGATGGGAGATTTTCAGGCACAACCCCTCGATGGGCTAACAAACTGAGCTACTACATACAGCATGAAGAGACATTTGCATTAATATTGACTCCGTATGGGGTTTTGCTGTTGAGCTAAATGCAAGAATCAGCACTGCTCATGTTTCAGCGCTCGTGTCTCAGTTTTCTGTATGATTTCATTTTTATAAAATGTATTTATGTATTTGATCCATCCATTTCCTTTTTTTGCGATTAAACTTCCAGAACTTGTCTGTGCTTGATCTTTTCCAGGGTCATGATGGTAAATTAAACAAAACAAAGTGAGACCCTGACATGGTCCTCACCGTGTCAGCGTCTCACTTTCTTTAACTTGTTTGCTCTCCATTTCCAGGATCTTCTCATGTGCCTTTTATTTAGATATTTTTACTGATAAGATTTACTAACCTCCATGTCTCCCATTACTCAGCCTCCCCCCCTTTTGTTCCTCCTTTCACAGTTGACGTTTTCACTATAATTACACGTGGAAGTTCATTAAGAGATTAAAGTGAACCTTTCAGGTGAACGTGATTCCACTGTCTTATTCCTCCTTATCTCGTCTCAGTTCCTCAACACCTTCTTATTTTATCTTCTTTTCAATTAGCGGTTCCTTACTTGAGAACGTACACTTTCACTCCAAAAAGCAGCTCCTCAGTTTGATGTTGCACACTTAACAATGAATGATTTTAGGAACTGTAGGATTTTCGGAACTCATCCTAAACTTAAAAAGCACAGAGCTTTTTTTCTGAGCCAATAGTCTCCAGGTCCATTAATAAACCAGCCCTCCTGTTTAACGAGAAGCTATTAAAAAAACTTTGGCTTCATTTAACTTTACCAAACATTTAACACTACACTGACAAGAGCAATAATATTACGTTCTCTTCTGTTTCTCGTCTGTTTGTCTTTCTCAATTAACTCAGAATTACCCAGTGTGTGCCTTTGTCCAAAATCCTAAGTTCACTACATTTCGAATGTCGTCTTGCATCTTTTTGCAATTAAGCCATCCTTTTCTTCATTCTCTCCCACCAGTCTGCCCCCAGTATGACTCATCCTCCCTTTAAGGGAGATGGTAATTAAATGTTTTGAGCAGAGGGGACAGTCTAACTCCTGCTAGATGCAAACTAACTGACTTTCCCACAAAATGCAATGTCACACAAAGTTTGGAGAATAAATGTAAAAATGATTTGTATCAGACTTAAAAACCCTTAATGGACCATTAGGTTATGGTTAGATTAGACTGGATGCTTTTCTTTAGCCCGCGCCGTTGCACAGATTGTTTTCAGGTCACGGCAACTTTATATCCTGTCTGTGTTTTCGACATGATGCTGTCCAACACTCACCACAAGTGATTAATCAGCTGCTAGTAATTACAGACCTCCCTGTTCCTCCCATTATGTACAAATTTGTTATTGTTGTTTCATTATTCAGCTTATTACCCCTTGACATGAAGCACAGCAGAGTATAAACAGAGGGTCAATCGGAGGAATAAGAAAGAAGTGAAACTTGGAACAGAAAGTGATGAATGTCACATGCTACTCACCCATCTATCCATTAACACATTAAGACTATTCACAATGGAAAAATGTAGAAATTGTGGCAAAAATGTGCTTCCTTTCTTTAAAATCCACCATTCCTCGTTTTGCATTTAAAGGGCTGCTTCTATGATGACTTACTGCTTTTTGGGGACATTTCACTCAGTCAGGCACCCACTTGGTAAAAAATGCTCCTCGACCACACCAATGGGAAGATTTGCAGCTTTTTTCAATTATGAATAATTGTTCTCTCTGTTTGATGATGGATCTGAAATGTTGGGCAAAGGCCTTATAAACCCTCACAACATCCATTGCATCTTTGAGATCACTTTGCATTTCTTTCCTTCTTGGCATTCTATTAACACGCCCCTGAATGTTTCAAACCAGTAACCTCGAGAAAAGACTGTCCCGTTGGCTGATAATCAATCCATTTATTGTGTCTGATCAACATGACCATGTTTCCATTCAGCCTCTGCTTGCCAACCCACTTCTTGCTGAAGGGGTGACAGTTTTTCTTTGTGTTTTTTATACAGTTCTTCTGCCTTTTGACTCCGTTTTTTTTCTTAGATGAGTCGTGACATGGTGATATTTCTTTTGCTGAAGTTCAGCTGTGCTTGTGTTTAGATTGGTTAGGCACTTTTTCAGCATGAATTCATGAACATTTTGGAAGATCCTACCGTCAGCTTGATGAGCCCTTGTCTAAATGACCATTCACCTGCCGACCCACGGACCGGCCCTCCTGGATGTGTGACTACTGGCTGAGGGACATGTTAGCTTATGCCGTAGGTGTAGGCACTGTATTCAGGCACACATCCAGTCAAAGACAGACCTCAGCAGTATTTCCAATCAGTTTTTAACCCTGAAGTAAGTCAGTGACCTTTTTTGACCTCCATCAATCTCCAGGAGCGCATATAGCAATGTAAGCCCCCAACTAAACTCTTCCATATCCACTAATGAGCTTCACTGATAGGCTCTGAACTGTAAGCCAGGTTGCAGTGCTCCTGGAAAGTCCTCTGTCTGGGTGCACGCTGATTTTACAGTGAAAAGTACAAATATCCTGTTATAAAATTTGAATTAGGACATTGAACTTGTGCGAGTTGATACTTCCTGTACACAACCACAGGAGAATGTCACAAAGTTGCAGATGTGTGTTGCTCAAACAAAGACATTTATACAGTATACACCACTAATATAAAACTGTTTCACAGTCCATGAAATAAAAAGCCCATATGTGTCTTGTATCGTCACTTGAGGACACAGAATATATTGTTTTTGCAGATAACCCTCAGCTTCTTCTTGGCTAACTGGTTATTATCTGTGCACTCAACTATTAATCCTACCCCAGAGACTCACACAGACCATCTGCCTTCCAACTCTGTATTTTTCCCTGATTGCTTCAACCTTCCTTGTCCATCCTTAGTTATAATCACTAAAGATAGCAAACTATAGTGACTAAATAAACAGGAAGTTCATTTGCACTGTCTATGACTCAGTTTCCTCTACAAGGTTGTGGCTGGCAATGTTAATACCACAGAGACATCGGCCATTTGGTATATACAGACATAAAAAGACCCATATGATCATGAAACCAAAAAGAGCTGTAACTACATTAACTATACATGAAGAAATAATATTGAGAAGAAGTCCTTAAAGAATTTTAATAATGGGAAAAAATAATATATCAAAACAGTGTTTCCAAGCTTGGGGCCATTACCCAGCAGAGTCTCAAAAAACACTATCTGAGAGGGATGTCATTAGGACCAAAATCCTGACCTGGATTGAAAGACACATACTGACCCTTTTAGTTGTTTTGTCCACTCACTGAATTCTCATCAAAATGTTTTATTGAAGGGTAGTTGTCATGAAACCATTATTATCAAGAAGGAAAATGGGGAGGAAAGATTGAGATGTGCCAAATGACACAAGATCTGGACTGAAAACCAGTGGCAGTGGGTCTTATGAAGTGATGAATCCTCCCCACAGCCCAGAAGTCAACACTATTGAAGCAATGTGGGATAATCTTGGATGGAACAGGACAAACAACTGCCAATATACAAAGAAGATCTTTTGGATATCCTTCAAGAGAACTCTGGAGAAAATAGTCCCTAAACACTACTTAAAGAAACATCAAGAAGGCTTCTTCAGCCTGTCTTAAAGATAGGATAGAATTGCAAATTTCAAACAACCAGGTGATCAACCCTGAGCACAGGATGGATGATGATGATGTTTG